TAGATAGATAGATAGATATTGTGTCTATGTGTATGTGCGTGCATATATGTGTGTGTGCGCGCGCGTGTGTGTGTGTGTGTGTGTGAGTGTGTGTGTGTGTGTGTCTGTACGCAGATACGTGAGTGTGTTTGCTGCTGAAAACAATCCTGACAGATTTGTATTTCACGAATATTCGCCATGAGAGCGAACATGGGTTTAATCCTTTTGTTTTTACAGAGTAGAACATAAAACAAGGAGTATTATAAGATGCAAGGGAATTCAGGATAAAGTAAGATGATATATCTACAACGAAAAAACAACAACAGTAGACTCAGAATACACTTAAATGCTAACGGTATCGAATCAAAGAACGTGATGGCTGATCGCTAAAAAACTGAAGAGAATAAGTCACACTAGTCACTGGAAACTGCGACTCTTCATGTTCGGTTCCATTATATTCAATGTTTTCTCTTGAACTTGAAGTGAGCATGCCAGGGTGTCCTTTGTCTATAGTGTTCATCAATTTGATTTTTCTTTGTAAACAGACAGAATCCCCCTTCAGCTTCAGCTATCTTCTATCAGACCAATATAAACTGCGTAAGAGCTCAATGTCATTGAATCAGTCAGTTGGGAACGTTTTTAGAATCTAAGCTGAAGTCAGCTGCCTTCAAGACTAAACAATATATCATTGCTTCTCACAGTATTGTCCACATGTCTTGAATCGCACCCGCGGACGGGTTTTTTTGATGTACAAGAAGATGTGACGTTTTATCGCAACTTCAATAGATAATACACAATTTTCTCACACCGAAAAAACACCCATTGCTTCTTTCTCCTGCGCATGTGCGTCTGTCAAAGTCATTTCAAGAAGTACAATCCCTTCCTGTTCAGCAATCAAATATCTAGAAACAACACAAACGGGATTCACTGGTCTGTTGGACTTGATGTTTGAGTCAGCATTTGCTGCTCTGACTTCTTGTCCGGCTGAACACTTTTCACTTTGGACGATGCTGGGATGACCATCTGCAGTGGACTCACTGGCCCCTTGTCCGCGTCTTCTTGTAGAGGCACCTTGATGGCAGGGTCCTCCCCACGCGACTCTTCGTCACAGTAGTGAGTCAGGAAGGACGGGAAAAGCAGAGCCATGGCCAGTGTTACACCACCGATGCAGAAAAAGATGAGCCCGGTCAGTTTGCACATGTCTAGTGTGGTGTTGTACTCCTGAGCCTTCTCGTCCACGTACGCGTTTCCCTTGGGATCGCCAGCATCCAGCAGCACGTGACGAGGTGGCACCAGGTAGCCAATCAAGATGCCTATCACCCCAAAGAGCAAAAGGATGACACCTATCCACATGAATATCTGAGGAGAGAGATGAGCATTATTTTTTTTAATAACCGTTGTGTGAGTTTGTTTATTTGAATAAAGAGACTAAGATCTATCCAGCAATGCGATATCAATCATTTAGTGCACAGAAATAGTAAGACGGACAGACAGACATAAAGGAAAGGGGAAGAAAAAAAAAGAAAAAGGCCTAAGCATGGGCGTTTCACAGCGATACAGCAGAAAGAATTTGAAATGGTGATCTGCAGAACTATTGCAAAGATTAGTAGGGAGGACAGCATATAGAGCGATCGAGTACTCATTTTACTTGGAATCCAAAAAGATTTCTTGGAAAAAGCGAAACGACTGGACCTGGCGTATTTTAAATACATAACGAGAGCCAAACAGAGTGCAGACAGGAAGAGGGAGAGGATGGTGAAGAGAGGCAGAGGACGACCAAGGTGCCCATTGACATATTATGAAAGATTATACAAGAATGCTAGATGAGGGTTTGGCTTTGGTACAGGACGAGTTGACATAAACAAAAACAACAACTCCTCCTCCTCGTCCATCACTACTACTACTACTACTACTACTACTACTACTACTACTACTAC